GGCCGTGTCTGTAAAGGAATCCGGTCTCAGCTATGTGCTGTGTGGGGAGGAGGAGATTGATTGACTGCCCTGTGTGGGGTGCGGGATGCGCCAGGGCAAGGTCCTCTACCTCCCAGGGCAAAGATGACAAACTAAGCCCCCCATGTGGGATCATTCTGTCTCAGCATAAATCCCTCCCCCTCAAAAAAAAACCAAAGAAACAGTACTAATCAGCACACTGCACTCAAGTATAAATTCTGTCTGAGAGCCAAAATTCTCTCCAAACAATGCAAAATACCCCCTCTTCTAAGTATAAAACCCCCTCCCAGCAATTCTTTGCCTCCCAATCCCACCTCCATTGCCCTCAATTCCCCCCTCCTAGCACAAATCTCCTTCAACCAAAAAAAAAACAGCCCTCCATGCACACATTTCCCCTCAAATTTTCCATCTTAGTACAAATCTCCCCAAATTTTTCTTCTTAGAATAAATCCCCATCCCCTCTTCTAGCACAAATTCACCCCCAGTCCCCCCTCTTAGCATAAATCCCCCCATCCCTTCTCCTAGCACAGTGGTTCTTAACCTTGTTGGAGGTACTGAACCCCACCAGTTTCATATGAGCATTCACCGAACCCTTCTTAATTGGACAAATAAAATATGATTTTTAAAAATTCAAAACATAGGTATATATTTATACATAGGTGCACAAAATGAACAAAACCGTTAAGAACAAAGAACAAAACCATTAACACATGATTTTCACACAAAAACAAAAACATAATAATGAATATTTACTGCACGAATCATATGAGTCGGGTGTGGGTCTTCACCTCCGCCGAACCCGCGAGACTGACTCACCGAACCCCTGGGGTTCGATCGAACCCAGGTTAAGAACCACTGTCCTAGCACAACCCCCCCCCCCCCAAATATCCCCTTCTAACAGAAATCCCCCCTTCTAGCAGAAGTCCCCCCTTCTAGCACAAATCCCCCCTGCTAATCCCCCATCCTAGCACAAATCCCTCCACTTATCCCCCCTCCTAGCACAAATCCCCCCCAATCCCTCCTTCCAGCACAAATCCCCCCCCATTCCTCCTTCCAGCACAAATTCCCCCCAATCCCCCCTCCCATCACAAATTCCCCCTTCTAGCACAAATCCCCCATTTATCCCAGCTCCTAGAACAAATCCCCCCAATCCCCCCTTCTAGCACAATTCCCTCCTGACAAATTTCCCTAAATTCCTCCTCCTAGCACAACCCCCTCCAAATTATCCTCCCAGCACAGATCCTCCTCTCCCTTTTCAACCTTCCCCCTCTTAGCACAAATCAGCACAAAAATTCACCCCCCCCCAGCCCCCTCCTGGCTCAAATCCCCCCATTCCTCCTCCTAGCAGAACCCCCATCACCCTTTCCATCACAAATATCCCCTTCTCATCCCAGACAGAAATAAGTTTCACCCCCACACCTCCCCCTTCATTGTGTACATATCAACTGTAAGCTCCCCCCCCCCCCCCCCCATCCTTCCATCTTACAGTCCCAAGGTTCAGGCAGTGCTTTGCTCTCCCCTCCTCCTGTCAGAACAGCGCTGCTCCCTATAGTGGATGACACAGGATCGCTCCGATCCTCGGGTTGTACACAGTTTCATTACCCCCCCCCCCCATCCACATTTCTTGCTGTTGGAAGATGAGCAATCCTTATAGGAAATGGGGGGGGGGGTAGTGAAACTGTGTACAGTCCCATGGTCGGAGCGATCCTGTGTCATTGGCTATATGGATATGGAGCTGCGCTGTTCTGATAGGAGGAGGGGACAGAGCGCAGTACAGCACAGCCAGGGGCGGACTGACAACTCATGGGGCCCCTGGGCAATAGGGGATCATGGGGCCCCTGTGTCCTTGCCCAAACTCAAAAAAGCCTATGAAAAAGGTACCAGGAGCATCTCATGGGGCCCCCTACTGACCCCCGGGCCCCCGGGCAGTGCCTGAGTTTCCAAATGGTCAGTCCGCCCCTGAGCACAGCACAGCACCGCTCCTCCAGGCTCTCTCTTCTTTGTCACTTTCTGAACTTACCTGACAAATCAAGAGAGAAACCAGGAGTGACTGTGTCTTTACCGCGTGCTCACAAACGTACAATTGTGTTCAAAAAATATTAGTGTGTTGAAAAAAGTGAATAAAGCTGAAAATCCTTCTAATAGCTTTTATTTCCATCCACACAAATGCATTGGGAACACGACACATTCTATTCCAAATCACAACATGATGAAAAATATATCAAATTTGTGTTGTTCCTCTAAAAAAAAAAAAATGAAAAATGAAAAAATTGAATATTTAGACGGTTCAAAAAAATAGCAGTGTTTGTATTCTTTACAAACTCAAACATTCACTATATAAACTGAGAAATGTTTGAAGATTTTGCTTTCCTTTGAATGACTTCATGAATATTTGGTTGTAGTCGCACTGTTTCTGAGAACTGCTGTACATCTGTGTTGCATGGAGTCACCCAACTTCTGGCCCCTGTGATCAGGTATTCCAGCCCAGGATGATTGGACCACATTCCACAGTTCTTCTCTATTTCTTGGTTTTGCCTCAGAAACGGCATTTTTGATGTCACCCCACAAGTTTTCTATTAGATTAAGATCCGGGGATTGGGCTGGCCACTCCATAACGTCCATCTTGTTGGTCTGGAACCAAGATGTTGCACGTTTACTGGGGTGTTTGGGGTCGTTATCTTGTTGGAACACCCATTTCAAGGGCATTTCCTCTTCAGCATAAGGCAGCATGACCTTTTCAAGTATTCTGATGTATTCAAACTGATCCATGATCCCTGGTATGCGATAAATAGGCCCAACACCGTAGTATGAGAAACATCCCCATATCATGATGCTTGCACCACCATGCTTCACTGTCTTCACAGTGTACTGTGGCTTGAATTCAGTGTTTGGGGGTCGTCTGACAAACTGTCTCCGCCCACTAGACCCAAAAAGAACAATCTTACTTTCATCAGTCCACAAAATGTTGCGCCATTTCTCTTTAGGCCGGTCAATGTGCTCTTTGGCAGATTGTAACCTCTTCAGCACGTCTTTTCTCCAACAGTGGGACTTTGCGGGGGCTTCTTGCAGATAGCTTGGCTTCACATAGGCGTCTTCTAATTGTAACAGTCCTCACAGAGAACATCACACCTTTTTTCATCTTCCTGGAGCTGATTGTTGGCTGAGTCCGCGCCATTTTGGCTATTCTTCTATTTCGAATGGTAGTTTTTTTTTTTCTTCCACGTCTTTCAGGTTTTGGTTGCCATTTTAAAGCATTTGCGATCATTTTAGCTAGCTGAGCAGCCGATCATTTTCTGCACTTCTTTATATGTTTTCCCCTCTCCAATCAACTTTTCAATCAAGGTACGCTGTTCTTCTGAACAATGTCTGGAACGACCCATTTTGCTCAGAATTTCAGAGAGAAATGCACTGTAACCAGCATGTCCAGCATTTGCTGCCTTCCTTCCTTAAATAAGGGCAATAATTGCCACCTGTTTTTCAAAGAATGAATGACCTCACTAATAGAACTCCACACTGCTATTATTTTGAACACGCCCCTTTCAATGCAACAGAATCAGCAGCACGCATGTCATGACGGTTGGGTCTGTTGGATTTCTATGACTCTACTACACCTGCTAGGAAATTATTTGCCATGTAGAAATATGATTTCTACCAAAAACAGTGATTGATCCGGTTAGTGATGTCTGACTGCTATTATTTGAACACAACTGTATAATGTGAATCGCTCACTCGCCAGATTTTTTCACCCCAGTTACAGTGGCCCAATATGCCTTTGGTTTTATAGGGGACAACCCTCTCTTGGTATATTTCTCCATTTCTCCGCTTGGAAATTAATTAATGATAGCCAAATGTAAAGGATCACAATATGCCTCCAATAGGATGCTTTATAGATATTCCTCCCACGGGAATGCCGCAGGCCATTAAATGAATCAAACAAATGAACAGCTAAGTGTAGTATTTTAATTGAGAAACAATAATTACACAGAAATGCTGATTTTTCACTCACAGGTACAGGATCCTATAGACCGGCACCAATGTTTCCAGCATACAAGGTTTCTAAACCATGCGCTCCAAGCCTCGTATTCCCTCTGCTTGGATGTTCCCGGACCTGGAAGGGATGTATTGACGCTCCGATGTACATTTCGCCCAACGGCGTCTTCAGGAAGTGACGACCGCCACATACGGGGAGGTTTATATAAGACCAGCTGGTTCCTGATTGGATACCAGTCGGCAGAGACACAGGGAAATGATTGGAGGACTCCGGAAACATGGCCGCATGGCTACATTAAAGAGTTACTAAACCCAGGACCCTGCATTCAATATATCCGCTCTCCCCCGGACCCTGCATTCACTATATCCGCTCTCCCCAAACCCTGCATTCACTATATCCACTCTCCCCAGACCCAGCATTCACTATATCCACTCTCACCAGACCCTGCATTCACTATATCTGGACTCCCAGGACCCTGCATTCACTATATCTGGTCTCCCCGGACCCTGCATTCACTATAATCGGTTTCCTCAGACCCCGCATTCACTATATCCGCTCTCCCTGGACCCTGCATTCACTATATCTGGTCTCCCCAGACCCCAAATTCACTATATCCTCTCTCCCCAGACCCCAAATTCACTATATATGATCTCCCCAGACCCTGCATTCACTATATCTGCTCTCCCCAGACCCTGCATTCACTATATCCGCTCTCCCCGGACCCTGCATTCACTATATCCGGTCTCTCCGGACCCTACATTCACTAATCCGCTCTCCCTGGACCCTGCATTCGCTATATCCGCTCTCCCCGGACCCTGCATTCACTATATCCGGTCCCTCCGGACCCTACATTCACTATATCCGCTCTCCCTGGACCCTGCATTCACTATATCCACTCTCCCCAGACCCTGCATTTACTATATCTGGTCTCTCCGGAACCTTCATTTACTATATCTGGTCTCCTCAGACCCTGCATTCACTATATCCACTCTCCCCGGACCCTGCATTCACTATATCTGGTCTCCCCGGACCCTGCATTCACTATATCTGGTCTCCCTGTACCCTGCATTCACTATATCTGGTCTCCCAGGACCCTGAATTCACTATATCTGGTCTCCCCGGACCCTGCATTCACTATATCTGCTCTCCCCGGACCCTGCATTCACTATATCTGCTCTCCCCGGACCCTGCATTCACTATATCCGCTCTCCCTGGACCCAGCATTCACTATATCCGGTCTCCTAGGACCCTGCATTCACTATATCCACTCTCCCTGGACCTGCATTCACTATATCTGCTCTCCCCGGACCCTGCATTCACTATATCTGGTCTCCCCGGACCCTGCATTCACTATATCTGCTCTCCCCGGACCCTGCATTCACTATATCTGTTCTCCCCGGTCCCTGCATTCACTATATCCACTCTCCCCGGACCCTGCTGTCACAGAGATGGTCTCCCCCCCATCCCCCGGTTTGCTGCCTGCCACCCCCCAGCAGCCCCTCACTCTTCTGTTGCCAGCAATATGGCCCCCTGCTGAGGGAGTATCCTGCTCTCCTGGCAGAGTGCCAGAAAGTCAGGCCCGTGCTGTGGGAATCCACATGCAGGTTCCCCTTCCTGTCCTCACAGACATGGTGCAATCCTGTCCTCCAGCTCTTCAGGCTCGGGGGCGTATTTGCCACGATGCAATCAAGGCATTTGCCTAGGGCAGCAGTTTTCCCCTCTCCTTTCCCACAGAATGGACACTTCTATGGGAAAGGGACAGGGTCTTCTGTGTCCGATCCCACTTCGATCTGGTCCACAGGGTGCTGCTGGAGGAGGGGTGGAGAGGGTGTCCTTCCGGTGTCTTCATCTTCCTAGATCTTGATCGCGATGTGGGCAGGACGACATGCTGCCCCTCTCATCTGGCCACACCCCAGGATCACTGGGCAGCCTATGGAAACCTGTCCCTCCCTCTGCAAGCCTTCTCGCTGGTGATTGGCTGCCAGATCTGCAGCTCAGGAAAGGCACACAGGCAGCCAATCACCGGCATGGGGGCGGAGCTTGGAGAGGAGGAGCCGAGCAGCAGCGCGAGGATCGAAGAAGATCGAGTGAGGGACCACCCGGAGTCGGTGAAGAGGAGGAGAATGGCTGAAGAAGGAAGACTACTGATGGGTACGGTAAGTGTGGCCGAGATCTGGGCAGAGCAGGTGGTGCTGCTGCAACTGGGTATCCTGGCTGTGGATGGGAGAGGGAGGGCTCGAGCAGGGGTCAGCAATGTAAGTATCATTGGTGTCAGTGGGAAGAATAGTGCCCCATTATTGGTGTCAGTGGGAGGAATATTACCCCATCATTAGTGTCAGTGGGAGGAATAGTGCCCCATCATTGGTGTCAGTGGGAGGAATAGTGCCCTATCGTTGGTGTCAGTGGGAGGAGTAATGCCTCATCATTGGTGTCAGTGGGAGGAAAAGTGCCCCATCATTGGTGTTAGTGGGAGGAGTAATGTCCCATCCTTGGTGTCAGTGGGAAGAATAGTACCCCATCCTTGGTGTCAGTGGGGGGAATAGTGCCCCATCATTGGTGTCAGTGGAAGGAATAGTTCCACATCATTGGTATCAGTTGGAGGAATAGTGCCCCATCATTGGTGTCAGTGGGAGGAATAGCGCCCCATCATTGGTATCAGTGGGAGGAATAGTGCCCCATCATTGGTGTCAGTGGGAAGAATAGTGCCCCATCATTGGTATCAGTTGAAGGAATCATGCCCCATCATTGGTATCAGTTGAAGGAATCATGCCCCATCATTGGTATCAGTGGGAGGAATAGTGCCCCATCATTGGTATCAGTGAGAGGAATAGTGCCCCATCATTCGTATCGGTGGGAGGAATAATGCCCCATCATTGGTATCAGTGGGAGGAATAGTGTCCCATCATTGGTATCAGTGGGAGGAATAGTTCCCCATCATTGATATCAGTGGGAGGAATAGTGCCCCATCATTGGTATCAGTGGGAGGAATAGTGCCCCATCATTGGTATCAGTGGGAGGAATAGTGCCCCATCATTGGTATCAGTGGGAGGAATAGTGCTCCATCATTGGTATCAGTGGGAGGAATAGTGCCCCACCATTGGTATCAGTGGGAGGAATAGTGCCCCACCATTGGTATCAGTGGGAGGAATAGTGCCCCATCATTGGTATCAGTGGGAGGAATAGTGCCCCATCATTGGTATCAGTGGAGGGAATAGTGCCCCATCATTGGTGTCAGTTGGAGGAACCGTTTCCCATCATTGGTGTCAGTTGGAGGAATAGTGCCCCCATCATTGGTATCAGCGGGAGGAATAGTGCCCCATCATTGATGTCAGTGGGAGGAATAGTGCCCCATCATTGGTATCAGTGGGAGGAAGAATAGTGTCCCATCATTGGTGTCAGTTGGAGGAATCGTGTCCCATCATAGGTATCAGTTGGAGGAATCGTGTCCCATCATTGGTATCAGTTGAAGGAATCGTGTCCCATCATTGGTTTCAGTTGGAGGAATAGTGCCCCATCATTGGTATCAGTGGGAGGAATAGTGCCCAATCATTGGTGTCAGTGGGAGGAATAGTGCCCCATCGTTGGTGTCATTGGGAGAATAGTGCCCCATCAGTGGTATCAGTGGGAGGAATCGTGTCCCATCGTTGGTGTCAGTGGGAGGAATAGTGCCCCATCATTGGTATTAGTGGGAGGAATAGTGCCCCATCATTGGTATTAGTGGGAGGAATAATGCCCCATCATTGGTATCAGTGGAAGGACTAGTGTACCATCATTGGTATCAGTGGGTGGAATAGTGCCCCATCATTGGTATCAGTGGGAGAAATAGTTCCCCATCATTGGTATCAGTGGGAGGAATAGTTCCTCCGTTATTGGTGTCAGTGGGAGGAATAGTTCCTCCGTTATTGGTGTCAGTGGGAGGAATAGTGCCCCATTATTGGTGTCAGTGGGAGGAAAAGTGCCCACTCATTGGTGTCAGTGGGAGGAAATTCCCCCATCATTGGTGTCAGTGGGAGGAATAGTGCCCCATCATTGGTATCAGTGGGAGGAATAGTGCCCCATCATTGGTATCAGTGGGAGGAATAGTGCCCCATCATTGGTATCAGTGGGAGGAATAGTGCCCCATCATTGGTATCAGTGGGAGGAATACTGCCCCATCATTGGTGTCAGTGTGGGAGGAACAGTGCCTCATCGTTGCTGTCAGTGGGAGGAAAGAGCACCATCGTTGTTTTCAGTGGTAGGAATAGCAGCCCATAGTTGTCAGTGGGAGGAATAGTACCCCATTGTTGTTTTGAATGGGTGGAGCTCTAATTGGAAGAGGGGTGGATCTTAAACAGGAAGGGGTGGGGCAATCACATGAAAGGGGGCAGTGGCAGTGACATGGGGGGGCAGTGACTTGAGGATGTGGCAGTGACATGGGGGTCACTGGCAGTGGCATGGGGGCAGTGACATGGGGGGCAGTGGCAGTGACATGGGGGATAGGACAGTGTCAGTGACATGGGGGGGGGGCAGTGTTGTTGACATGGGGGGGTTGTGGCAGTGACATGAGGGGGCAGTGACATGGGGGGGCAGTGGCAGAGACATGGGGCAGTGACATGAAGGGCAGTGACAGAGACATGGGGGGGCACTGGCAGTGACATGGGGGGCAGTGACAGAGACATGGGGGTGGCAGTGTCAGTGACATGGGGGGTAGGACAGTGTCAGTGACTTGGAGGGCAGTGTCGGTGACATGGGGGGGCAGTGACATGGGGGGCAGTGGCAGTGACATGCGAAGGACAGTGGCAGTGACATGGGGAGGACAGTGACATTGGGGGGACAGTGGCAGTGGCACGGGGTCAGTGGCGGTGACATGGGGGTGCAGTGGTGGTGACATTGGGGGGGCTGTGGCAGTAACATTGGGGGGGCCAGTGTCGGTGACATAGGGTAGGACAGTGACATGGGGGAGGACAGTGACATGGGGGTAGTGACATGGGGAGGCAGTGTAGTGACATGGCGGGGGCAGTGACATGGGGGGAGGGGAGCAGTGACATGAGAGGGGGCAGTGGCAGTGACATGGGGGGCAGTAACATGAGGAGGTGCAGTGACATGGGGGGCAGTGGCAGTGACATGGGGGGCAGTGACATTGGGTGGCAGTGGCAGTGACATGGGGGCAGTGGCAGTGACATGGGGGGGTAGAACAGTGTCGGTGACATGGGGGGCAGTGGCAGTGACATGGGGGGGCAGTGGCAGTGACATGAGGGGTAGGACAGTGTTGTTGACATGGGGGGCAGTGTCGGTGACATGGGGGGGCAGTGGCAGTGACATGCGGAGGACTGTGTCAGTGACATGGGGAGGACAGTGTGAGTGACATGGGGGGGGGGGCAGTGACATTGGGGGGACAGTGTCAGTGGCGGGGACATGGGGGGGCAGTGTTGGTGACATTGGGGGGCAGTGGTGGTGACATGGGGGGGCAGTGGCAGTAACATTGGGGGGCAGTGTCGGTGGCATTGGGAGGGGCAGTGGCAGTGACATTGTGAGGACAGTGACATGTTGGGGTGCAATGGGCTTTGACATGGGGGGAGGAAAGTGACATGGGGGAAGACAGTGACATAGGGGGAAGACAGTGACATGGGAGGAGGACAGTGACATGGGATGGGAGGAGGACAGTGACATGGGGAGGACAGTGACATGGGGGAGGACAGTGACATGGGGAGAACAGTGACATGGAGGGAAATGATATGGAGAGGACAGTGACCTGGGTGGGGGGGGGGGACAGTGACCTGGGGGGGACAGTGACTTGGGGGGTAGTGACATGGGGGGAGGTCAGTGACATGGGGGGAGGACAGTGATATGGGGGAGACAGTGACATGTGGGGGACAGTCGCATGGGGAGGGCAGTGACATGGGGGGGCAGTGACATGGGGGGAGGACAGTAACATGGGGGGGACAGTGACATGGGGGGAGGACAGTGACATGGGGGGAGGACAGTGACATGGGAGACAGGACAGTGACATGGGGGTGAGGGGACAGTAAATGAGGGGCAGTGACATGGGGGGGGAGTGGAAGTAACATGGGGGGCAGTGGTAGTGACATGGGGGGGTAGGACAGTGTCAGTGACATGGGGGGGGCAGTGAAATGGGGGGCAGTGGCAGTGACATGCAGAGGGCTGTGTCCAGTGACATGGGGAGGACAGTGTCAGTGACATGGGGCAGTGACATTGGGGGGACAGTGTCAGTGACATGGGGGCAGTGGCGGTGACATGGGGGGCAGTTACATTAACATTGGGGGGGGCAGTGTCGATGACATTGGGAGGGGTAGTGGCAGTGACATGGGGAGGACAGTATCCACTGCCCTCCCATGTCACTGCCACTGCCCCTCATGCTACTTCCCCTCCCCCATGCAACTGCCACCGCCCCCCCCATTGCCACTGCCCTATCCCCCCATGTCACTACACCCCCATGTCACTGCCACTGCCCCATGTCACTACCCCCTCATGTCAGTACCAATGTACGCCCCCACCATGTCACTAACCCCCATGTCTCTGCCACTGCCACCCCCCATGTCATTACCACTGCCCCCCATATAAGTGCCACTGCCCCCATGTCACTGACACTGTGCCCTACACACCCCCCCACATGTCACTGACACTGTGCTTTCTCCCCCCCCATGTCACTGACACTGTGCTCTCTCTCCCCCCCCCCCCCATGTCACTGACACTGTGCTCTCCCGCCCCAATGCCACTAACACTGTGCTCTCCCTCCCATGTCACTGACACTGTGCTCTCCCACCCTCCATGTCACTGACACTGTGCTCTCCCCCCCTCCATGTCACTGACATTATGCCCCCCCCCCATGTCACTGACACTGTGCTCTCCCCCCATGTCACTGACACTGTGCTCTCCCCTCAATGTCACTGACAATGTGCTCACCCCCCCATGTCACTGACACTGTGCTCCCCCCCATGTCACTGACACTGTGCTTTCCCCCCCCATGTCACTGACACTGTGCTCCCCCCCCCATGTCACTGACACTGTGCTCTCCCCCCCCCTGTCCACTGACACTGTGCTCTCCCTCCCCCATGTCCACTGACACTGTGCTCTCCCCCTCCATGTCACTGACACTGTGCTCTCCCCCTCCATGTCACTGACACTGTGCTCTCCCCCCCATGTCACTGACACTGTGCCCCCCCCCATGTCACTTACACTGTGCTCACTCCCATGTCACTGACACTGTGTTCTCCCACCCCATGTCACTGACACTGCTCCCCCCCCCCCCCCCCAGTCACATGACACGGTGCTCTCTCACCCCCATGTCACTGACACTGTGCTCTCCCTCCCCCCATTTCACTGACACTGTGCTCTCCCTCCCCCATATGTAACTGACACTGTGCTCTCCCCCTCCATGTCACTGACACTGTGCTCCCCCCCCATGTCACTGACACTGTGCTCCTCCCTATGTCACTGACTCTGTGTGTCATCTCCCCCCCATGTCACTGACACTGTGCTCTCTCACCCCCATGTCACTGACACTGTGCTCTCCCCCCCCCCATGTCACTGACACTGTGGTCTCCCTCCCCCATGTCACTGACACTGTGTTCCCCCCCCCATGTCACTGACACTGTGTTCTCCCTCCCTCATGTCACTGACACTGTGCCCCCCCCCCCCAGTGTCACTGATAATGTGCTCTCTCCCCCCCACTGACACTGTGCTCCCCCCCCCATGTCACTTACACTGTGCTCACCCCCATGTCACTGACACTGTGCTCTCCCCCCCCCCATGTCACTGACACTGTGTTCTCCCCCCCCCCCATTGTCACTGACACTGTGCTCTCCCCCCCCCCCCATGTCACTGACACACTGTGCTCTCTCACCCCCATGTCACTGACACTGTGCTCTGCCCCCCCCCATGTCACTGACACTGTGCTCTGCCCCCCATGTCACTGACACTGTGCTCTCCCCCCCATGTCACTGACACTGTGCTCTCCCCCCCATGTCACTGACACTGTGCTCTCTCACCCCCATGTCACTGACACTGTGCTCTCCCCCCCCCCATGTCACTGACACTGTGCTCTCCCCCCCCCCCAATGTCACTGACACTGTGCTCTCCCCTCAATGTCACTGACAATGTGCTCACCCCCCATGTCACTGACACTGTGCTTTCCCCCCATGTCACTGACACTGTGCTTTCCCCCCATGTCACTGACACTGTGCTCCTTCCCCCATGACAGTGACACTGTGCTTTCCCCCCATGTCACTGACACTGTGCTCTGCCCCCCATGTCATTGACACTGTGCTCTCCCCCCCCCATGTCACTGACACTGTGCTCCCCCCCCCCCCCATGTCACTGACACTGTGCTCACCCCCATGTCACTGACACTGTGCTCTCCCCCCCATTTCACTGACACTGTGTTCTCTCCCCCCCCCCCATGTCACTGACACTGTGCTCTCTCACCCCCATGTCACTAACACTGTGCTCTCTCTCCCCCATGCCACTGACACTTGTGCTCCCCCCCCCATGTCACTTACACTGTGCTCACCCCCATGTCACTGACACTGTGCTCTCCCCCCCATTTCACTGACACTGTGCTCTTCTCCCCCCCCCCCATGTCACTGACACTGTGCTCTCCCCCCCCCCATGTCACTGACACTGTGCTCTCTCACCCCCATGCCACTGACACTGTGCTCTCCCCCCCATGTCACTGACACTGTGCTCTTCCTCCCCCATGTCACTGACACTGTGCTCCCCCCCCCTCCAATGTCACTGACACTGTGCTCTCCCCCTCCATGTCACTGACACTGTGCTCCCCCCCCCCATGCCACTGTGCTCTCTCACCCCCATGTCACTGACACTGTGCTCTCTCTCCCCATGTCACTGACACTGTGCTCTCCCCCCATGTCACTGACACTGTGCTCTCCCCCCCCCACTGATACTGTGCTCCCCCCCCCCCATGTCACTTACACTGTGCTCACCCCCATGTCACTGACACTGTGCTCCCCCCCCCCCCCATGTCACTGACACTGCCCACGTGCTCCCCCCCATGTCACTGACACTGTGCTCTCTCACCCCCATGTCACTGACACTGTGCTCCTCCCTCCATGTCACTGACACCGCCCGGCATATAAGGGGTTAATGTAACTCAGGTACATGTGTTTGTGCTGACATAGTTCGGTGATCGGCTTGTCGTGCCTTAAACCGGGCCCCGGGTTTTAGATGTAATGGGCAGTTGCTTCAGGTGATACTCATCTTGCCGCTACACGGCATTAAGAGGGATGGGCCCGTTGCCATGGTAACTCGACGCTAAGTCTCAAGTTACCACGGCAACGGAACGCTCCCGGCTCTGTACACAATGCAGAGCGGAAACCTGTCCCTGTGTGTTCCCGGGTACTGTCTCCTGTCTGTGTGGGTGAGGTCCGAGCTGCGGCCAGTCTCCAGTCCTCACTGATCTCCCTCCTCCCTCTCACTAACCTCCTCTGTTGGGAGTGGCTGCCCGGATCCCTCTGTCGGGGTGGAGTAACCCTCTACTGCCCGGATCCCTCTGCCGGGAGTAGTAACCCTCTATGCTGCCCGGATCCCTCTGTCGGGGTGGAGTAACCCTCTGCTGGCCGGATCCCTCTGCCTGGAGGAGTAACCCTCTGCTGTCCGGATCCCTCTGCCTGGAGGAGTAACCCTCTGCTGGCCGATCCCACTCCTTGGAGGAGTAACCCTCTGCTGCCCGGATCCCTCTCTCTGGAAGCATAACTCTCTGCTGCCCGGATCCCTCTGTCTTGAGGAGTAACCCTCTGCTGCCCGGATCCCTCTGCTTGGAGGAGTAACCTCTGCTGCCCGGATCCCTCTGTCTGGAAGCATAACTCTCTGCTGCCCAGATCCCTCTGCCTGGAGGAGTAACCCTCTGCTGCCCAGATCCCTCTGTTTGGAGGAGTAATCCTCTGCTGCCCGGATCCCACTGTCTGGAGGAGTAACTTTCTGCTGCCCGGATCCCTCTGTCTGGAGTAACCCTCTGCTGCCCGGATCCCTCTGTCTGCAGGAGTAACCCTCTGCTGCATGGATCCCTCTGTCTGGAGGAGTAACCCTCTGCTGTCCAGATCCCTCTGCCTGTAAGGATTAACCCTCTGCTGCCCAGATCCCTCTGTCTGGAGGAGTATCCCTCTGCTGCCCAGATCCCTCTACCTGATGGTTTAACCTCCTGCTTCCCAGATCCCTCTACCTGGAGGATTAACCCTCTGCTGCCCGGATCCGTCTGCCTGTGAGGATTAACCCTCTGCTGCCCAATCCCTCTGTCTGGAAGAGTAACCCTCTGCTGCCCAGATCCCTCTGCCTGCTGGATTAACCCTCTGCTGCCTCTGGATCCCCTTGCCTTGAGAGGAGTAACCCTCTGCTGCCCCAGATCTCTCTCCTGTGTGGACTGTAACCCGCCTTGTCCATTTCCCTGCATCCAGTAAGTGGACTAACCCCGTGCCGCCCAAAAGACTTAGCCCAATTCTGCCCCATGGAGACTCCAACTCCCATGGTAACCCCACCGCTCTGTCCTGCATGAACCCAATAAATAATTGGCCCCCTGTCATCCCATATTGGCATCCTCAGAACTTTACTGTATCTTGTGTGGATCTGTGGACTAGCTGTTTTATAGTCCGTACCCCCCCGAAAAACTCACCAATAAACGCCCGCCAACCGGCAGCGTTGGGTTCCGTGCATTCGGTCTCCGTGTGCTCTCTGTCTGCACTCTGTTACACCTGCATTCACTATATCCGGACTCCTTGGACCCTGCATTCACTATATCTGCTCTCCCCAGACCATGCATTCACTATATCTGGTCTCCCCCGGACCCATGCATTCACTATATCTGCTTTCCCAGACCCGCATTCACTATATCCGCTCTCCCCGGACCCTGCATTCACTATATCTGGTCTCTTCTCTCCGGTCCCTGCATTCACTATATCCGCTCTCCCCGGAATAAAAACCCTGCATTCACTATATCTGGTCTCCCCGGACCCCTGCATTCACTATACCCTGTCTCCCCGGACCCCTGCATTCACTATATCCGGTCTCCTTGGACCCTGCATTCACTAATATCCGCTCTCCCCGGGCACCCCGCATTCACTATATTCCTGTCTCCCCCGGACCCCGCATTCACTATATCTGATCTCCCCGGACCCCGCATTTACTATATCTGCTCTCCCCGGACCCCGCATTCACTATATCCTGTCTCCCCGGACCCCGCATTCACTATATCCGCTCTCCCCGGACCCCGCATTCACATATATCTGATCTCCCCGGACCCCGCATTCACTATATCTGCTCTCCCCGGACCCTGAATTCACTATATCCGCTCTCCCGGGACCCTGCATTCACTATATCCCGCTCCCCCCGGACTCCGCATCTCACTATATCTGCTTCTCCCCGGACCCTGCATTCACTATAATCTGGTCTCCTCCATGCATCTTTGTTATTCGGGGGAGAAATAATGCCCTATTGCTGGGTGTCAGTGGGAGGAATAGTGCCCCATCATTGGTGTCAGTGGGAGGAATAGTGCCCCATTATTGTGTCAGTGGGGGGAGGAAATAGTGCCCCATCATTGGTATCAGTGGGGGGAATAGTGCCCCATTATTGGTGTCAGTGGGAGGAATAGTGCCCATCATTGGTGTCAGTGGGAGGAATAGTGCCCCATCATTGGTGTCAGTGGGGGGAATAGTGCCCCATCATTGGTGTCAGTGGAGGAATAGTGCCCCATTATTGGTGTCAGTGGAGGAATAGTGCCCCATCATTGGTGTCAGTGGGAGGAATAGTGCCCATTATTGGTGTCAGTGGGAGGAATAGTGCCCCAAGCACCATCATTGGTGTCCAGTGGGAGGAATAGTGCCCCATCATTGGTGTCAGTGGGAGGAATAGTGCCCCCTCATTGGTATCAGTGGGAGGAATAGTGCCCCAATCATCATTGGTGTCAGTGGGAGGAATAGTGCCCTGTCGTTAGTTTTACAGTGGGAGGAATAGTGCCTTATCGTTGGGTGTCAGTTTGAGTGCCTCATTCATTGGTGTCAGTGGGAGAATAGATAGTGCCCTGTTGTTGGTGTCAGTGGGAGAAATAGGGCCCCATTGTTAGTGTCAATGGGCCCCATTGCTGATGTCCAAGTAGCAGGAATTATGCCCTTTGTTGGTTTCAGTGGGGGGGGGAATAGTGTCTTTTATCAGTGGGAGAAAAAGTGCCTCAAGGGCCAGATAAAGGCAAGCAAAGGGCCCCACAGTTTGGAGACCACTGTTCTACATCATGGCAGTGCTTATCAGGGAGACCGCTCTGGATAGTGAGCCCTTTTTATGTAGAGCTCTAGAAAAGTGCCAGGAACATCTATCCAATCATTTCCTCAGATCCACCACACATCTTCATTGTAATAATGTGTACCTGGCTGGCTCTGGTAAGTTGTGGCCATGGGCAGCACAGTGGCTAAGTGGTTAGCACTTCCACCTGGCAGTTACTCGGGTCATTGGTTCACAAATCCCAACCACGGCATCACCTGCTGGAGTTTGCATGTTCTTCCTGTTGCTGCGTGGGTTTCCTCCGAGTACTCCGGTTTCCTTCACACTCCATTGTACTGTTAAAGAAATCATGCTGAGGTAGGTTAATTGGCTCCTGTCTACATTGTCCCTAGTATGTGTAAAATGTATGAATGTGAGTTAGGGCCCTTAGATTGTACACCCCTTGGAGGGTTAGGACTGATGTGAATGTCACAATAGATATGTAAAGTGATGCGTAAATTGATGGCGCTATATAAGGACCTGAAATAATAAATGTGCACAGACAGGAGAAAACAAGAAGTGTACCCAGGAAGACATGCTCTCCCCTTTTAGTCACCTGCCTACATGCTGCATTTGTACCACACAGGCTGCAGTGTGTGATGGACAGCACTGCCTATCAAACTTGCCCCCATCTAGTGGGATCAATGGGCACACGTGAATGGCTGTGGTGGTCCCACAATGTAAAATTGCTTTTTCGGCAATTTAAAAAGAACAAATGTGAATTGAAGAGGCATCAGTAGCACTTCAGAAGACCTGTCAGGTAAGCTTAGCCTCCTGTCTGAAGAAAGCCTAAGCACGGGATCAACACCATTAGTGGTGCGGGAACACCGCATATAATTCACAACAGGAGTCGCACCGCATTCCTGGGCGAATGACATGCAAAACCGTTCTGTGTGTGCAAGTTTGAGCCGTACATATTGTATGCTTCAAATCACATCCGCACTGAAATGGTGCTGGACCCCTTTTTTAACCTCCAGTGGCGGTATTCCCGAGTGTAGCTCGGGGTGAGGAGTTTCAGTACCAAAAGCGGTAACCCCCCCCCGAGCTACACTCGGCTTACCCTGCAGCGTTGCTCAGGGAGTTCCTGCAGACTAGATATCCTTTTCACAAAATCTTCGTAAAAATTATAAATACATAGGTATAACTCCACTATATCAACCCACAAAACAATAAAAAAAAGCAAATAAAAATAAATGCGTCAACACACTGGCCCATCACCGGTCTCGGCGATGCCGGCATCTGGCTTCCGTGTTCCTGGTCCCCTGTGACGTCGGGACGTACGGGCACCGGAACCGGCGGCAAATTTGAAAATTTTTAAAAATGACATTTTTTTTGTAAATCGATTATTACATAGTAAAGACATTCCTGTTTCAACAACCATTTCACATAACATTTTGTCACCGAGTGCTTTGTCCGGCGCCCCTGCCTGCATTTTTGACTGTTCTTTCTGCTGGAAACTGGAGAAATACGTCCATAGTGTCCAAAAAGCGTCCCTTTAGGTCTAAAAGACGGTTTTTAGACACGGCTAGTAGAACAGCAGATAGTAAATCAGAACCCACTTGCAGAAAGATTGAGTGATAATGATTCGTGGGGGAAATTCGGTCACCAGACACTGAAAACGATTCTGCGACTTTGCTCAGCGATGTGCGAAACTTTGGCGCTCTATTTCACATTTCAGTGTTGAATTGGTTTTGATTATATTAATGAATTAAATTTATTATTATATTTATTATTATTTTTTATGAGTATTTTAATTATATTAAATAAATTTATGATTTTGTGTTTTTCAAGTTTTATCATCCCCGGGATGTTTTACTAGACTCTTGTTCGGAGAGGATTTCAGTGAGTTATTCCTAAAAATTACAGCCAATACAATAAAAAAAACTACATATTTCATACAAAAAAATGTACCGCTTTCAGCACGTCAAAAATCCTGAACTAATCATACCTAGCCTGAGGAGGGTTAAATCAGCACCTGCATCGCATCACTTGCGTTAGTCGCACCCTATGTAATGTGATTTGTCTGGCAATCGCATCGTAGTTTTGTGATTGTTTTGGGGTGTCATTAATTGATCGAATTGACACCTGCACCAGATCGCCGATGAACGCAATGAAAAACGCAATGTGATTGCAATGAGGTGTAGGAAAACGCACAAGATTCATAGTGTTTCCTGCACCGCATTGGTGTGAACCGGATCTAAAAGTGCTCTTTAATGTCACAGCAAGATGCGTTATTGATGTATTTTGGTTGGTTTTTTATTGTATGGCTGTCTTGTACTAGTACCGCGATACGCTAGTATCACCTATTAAACCAAGCACACTGGCAATGTCAAGAAGGTTGCATTTTGTGAGGCTTCTGCGGAGCGTTTGAGGCACATTTTACATTGACATGTAAGGAGACGCGGGGAAGTGGAAAAGCCAGCCCGATCGCTACATCCTGGGGACATTTGGTATACACACAGCACAAAGGAAACTCTTAAACTGGCAGCTGCAATAGACATAATTGGGTTTACAGAGCGTCAAACAGTGGGCATTTGTGAGGCTTTAAAACTACAGATGAAAATGTCCTGTTCATGGTGCCACATGTAAACTTTAGCATACCTTGGTGCTTATGTCAGTTAAACATGAACAATCGGGGATATCTACCAACTGTTTCACAAAGGCGCAATGGAGGTTATATATGCATTTTACCCCGCAGCAAAGCCATGGAAAACTGAAGGGAGGTGTGAGCAGGGTAGGAGAGTTATGAGGGTACACATGGATCATAAATCCACATAAATGAAAGAGTTCATTGAGAGTTTGGTAGATATATAGTTTTAGATTCTCAGTAGGAGGACAGAAGTCTACCTTTGCTTGCTGTATGTGACTGACGCCCGCTATGGCATTGACACTATTGTCAGGTTTTTCGCAAAGTCAGGTAAGATCTCCTATATACAATTAATGATTGGATTGTATCGGCTCCCCTTTTTGGGGGATAAATAGCCAGGGTGGTGCGATGTGTTCTTTACATTTGCTGAAAATATCATTTACCAAAACTCAGCTAAAAGACCGATTATTTCAGGCGGGTGACAGTATTTTTCGAATCTCATTGATTTTAGCAGAAAATAATTGTCACTGTGCTGGAAATAAGAACTCCTAGCCGGGTGTGTGATAACGGAGTCCACTGAATGCAGATGGGAACATCGGGAAGACAGAGTGCCGACGGCAGATGTTTATGAAGATATATAAGTTCCGGCAACTTTTAATATACATATTGCATTTTAAGACGATGATTTTATTGTGCTTGGAAGTCTGTAGATCCTGTCATTGGTCACTCGGCAATGGTGCCGGCAATTTGGATCGAGTTCTGGAAAGTTTTTTGCCGCTGATATCGTCAGAGCTCAGTGTATAATGGGAAGTTTCTAGTTCGGTGTTTTATCGGAGGACAGTTCTCTTTTATATATTAGCTGTAATTTTTGAAGGTGTGATTGATTTAATTCGATTATATATTATATATCTATAGCAGTATATGCAGACGTAGGTCAAGGTGTCAAATGATGATAGATAGATAGACAGACAGACAGACCGACCATAGACAGACAGACCGACCATAGACAGACAGACCGACAGACCGACCATAGACAGACAGACCGACAGACAGACAGACAGACAGACCGACAGACAGACAGACAGACACCGACAGACAGACAGACCGACTACAGACCGACAGACAGACAGACCGACCATAGACAGACAGACCGACAGACCGACCATAGATAGATAGATAGATAGATAGATGATGGATGGATAGATAGATTATAGATATGAATAGATAGATAGATAGATAGATAGATAGATAGATAGATAGATAGATAGATAGATAGATAGATAGATAGATAGATAGATAG